CCCCTACTCCACTCGATCCGGCTCGAGCTGGCTTGGCAAGCGCGCGAACAAGTCCTCCCCACTCCTGCGTCGTTTGCTCTACCTGCTTTTGAGGGTACGGATTACACTAGCAGGTCCACGAAAAAAAGGTGCGCCCGAGCTGACACGAAATGTCATTGAATTTTTACAAACATCATTACACATCTGCAACACACAATCGTTAGAATTCGTTCGGAGTGCCAATAAGCACTTTACCCCCTCCCCTCTCGCCCCGCGCAGCAGGACTTAGACGCTGCGCACCGTCCCGCTCTCAGTAGTGTGCCAGAGCTTGGTAGTGCGGGTAGTGCGTGTCTGTGCAAGTGATGTCTCACCGTAGCGTTGAAGTTGACTTGTTTCTTTCGGATGAAGAGACGATGGAGCCGTTGTACATAGAAGAGTCATCGCAGGAGACTACGGCCTCCTCCCCTCTTAAGTTGCACCCCTCAGGGCTCATGTACGAAGAGGTAAGTGCAAGTGATTGATCTGCGCGCCAAATCTATGTTGCATCATCTTGTGATTTCACGCCATGTTGTCCCCCGTTGCGTCGCCCACCGTAATTCTACGCTACTCCGAGTTGATCGCGAGTGTTCTTTCATTCATTTAAACCGCGAGTGTTTAAGCTTGGGTCCTGCCGGCTCGCGCCAGTTGAGGTTAGGAGTCCTTTGTGTGCCCGACGCCGTCGTCGTGCTCGCCGCCCGCCGGCGTCACTGTTTGGTCACGGCGTGTCCTGCCTGCGTCACGTAGCTGTAAATTCAGTGTTCAATCGAGTGTCTTGCCTGACGAGCTCAACTCGGCACGCTCGCGGTTGCCGTGTCGTGTGCCGCTCGCGGCCGCGGTCTGGTGTAAGACGGCCGGTATCTCGTTCGTCTCTCTCATTTTGTTCCTCATTTATTGATTCTGAGGTTAGGCTTTCGCCAATTTTATTGTGCCTTTGACCGTTTACTTGTTAAACGTCACGATTTCTTTCTCACGACGCCAATGGCGTCCCCTCGGTCGGTGCGCGGGAATTCCTGGAAATGGGGTGGTGGTGGGGGAGGGGACGCTCTCGCTGCTCAGCGCGCTATCTCTCTCGCACTCGCAACATAAAGTAACGATATTTTTCTACGTTTCAGCTGTCTTGCGACCCGGAAGCGGCTGCCTCACCCTCTATCAACAACGAGGGCGCCGCCAACGAGGGCGCCGGCAACGAGGACACCGCCAACCTCAAGGACGCCGCCAGCGAGGCCCCCGCCACTGAGGCCCCCGGCGAGGAGGCGGCTGCCGCGGAAGAGGGGTGCAAGCCAACCCCACACCCGCTCTCTCTGCCCGACCTTCTAGAGGAGGGGGCGTGCGACGGGGTAAGTGATTCGACACTTCAGAATAAACCAAACAAAAAAAATCTTGTGTAAACAATGTTGTGGGTTTTTTTGCAGTTCGAGACACCCAATGGGAGACGGAAGCGGGTAGCACACAAGCCCGTCGAGCCTCCCGGCTCCATACCCAATGTGGCATCATCTGTCACCAAGGACGGGGTCAAGCCAGCCAAAGTCGTGAGTTTCATATTTTACAGCTGTCATTCAAAGGAAACATCGACGTTCCGTCTAACTTTTGTGTTTAACGTTGCAGTCGGTGTTCGATCGCCTTGAGAAGCGGCCCGCTGCCGCCCAACAACGCCATAAAGGGGTATGTCAAATAATCCTAATCTCTGATATGTCGCTTTTTTTGGGCACTTGGACTAACTCAGCCTTCTTGTTGTAGGATGTATTTTCCCGCCTTGGCGAGGGAAGGGGGCGATTCAACCCCGTGCAGGAGGCAATACCGATGGCCCGCTACAACCCCCGCCCTGAGGCCCAGCCCCAGGCTGAACATCAACCACAGCAGTGGAGCGGGCCCGCCAGCAGACCCATAGGAACCACCCGCATTGCCCTCCAAACCTTGTAAGTTTCCAAACATCGCTATGATTGTGCGGTTACAGAATGTAAATTTATGGTCTGATTGTGCTATTATTGTTTCAGACGATGAAGCAATTGGCAGAAGCCAGGAGGAGGACACACAAGAAGTGAATTTT